ATATATATAATTTTCCTTTCCATGACCTTTTGGTAAGGGCTATATGCTTATTCAGATTATGCTGCCCTTGTTCAGAATACCTTCTACCTTTGGATGTATCTTTTGGAATTTGCTTCCCTGCAGTTTATGGGCTACTAGCAAAATAATTTTATTTTAATTTTATTCTCTCTCCTTACCTCCAGGCTTTACTGAGTTCCTCTGATTAACTCAGTATCCTTTTATCTTGCTCCTGAGGGTCCCTGAGGACTGCTGTGGTCCCAGCCTGGAGCTAAGAAAGTGGTGGTTGGAGATATATCTCCTTGGGCAAGGGAAACAAAAGAAAACATAAACAAAAGAGACTTACGTCAAACTAAAAAGTTTTTGCAAATGAAACCAGCAAAATGAAAAGACAACCCACCGAATGGTAGAACATATTTGTCAATGATACATATGATAAGAGGTTAATATCCAACATTTATAAAGAACTTATGTGACTCAACACCAAAAAACCCCAAACAATACAGTTAAAAAATGGACAAAGGACCTGAATAGGCACTTCTCAAAAGAGGACATACAGGTGGCCAATAGGCATATGAAAAGATGCACAAAGTCACTAGTATCAGAAAGATGCAAATTAAAACCGCAATGAGATATTACCTCACATCTGTCAGAATGGCTACCATCAACAAATCAACAAACAGCAAGTGGGGGTTAGGATGTGGAGAATTAATGCAGATTGGCGCAGCCACTGTGGAAAACAGTATGGAGTTTTCTCAGAAAGCTAAAAATGGAACTGCCTTATTACCCAGCAATTCCACTTCTGGGAATATACCCAAAAAAATCCTGAAACACTGATTTGAAAGAATATGTGCACCCCTATGCTTACTGCAACATTATTTACAATAGCCAGATTTGATAGCCCAAGTGTCCATCAGTAGAAGGGTGGATAAAAAAGCTGTGGTACATTTACACAATAGAATGCTACTCTAATGTCAAAAAAAAAAAAAAAAAAAAAGGAAATCTTACCTTTTTTGACAGCATGGATGGACCTGAAGAGCATTATGCTAAGTGAAATAAGCCAGTCAGAGAAAGAAAAGTACCGTGTGATTTCACTCATATGTGGATTCTAATGAACAAAATAAACTAACAAACAAAATATAAACAGACATATATATGCAGACTGATGCCTGTCGTAGGGGAGGGGTTTGAGGGGCTGAGTGAAAATGGTGAAGGGATTAAGCAACAACAACAAGAAAAACCCAACAACTTATAGACACAGACGACAGTATGGTGATTCCCAGAGGGAAAGGGGAGTTGGGGGACGTCTAACAGGGTAAGTGGGGATAAATGATGATGCAAGGAGACTTGACTTGGGATGGTGAACACAGTGCAGTATACAGATGTTGTATTATAGAATTGTACACCTTAAACCTATATAATTGTATTAACCAATGTCACCCCAATAAATTCAATAAAAGTTTTTTAAAAGGAAAAAGAAAGTGTTGGTAGGAGAACTGATAGAAGAGTTTGTTTGTCTGTCTGGATCCAATCAGAAGCGAGAAACCATTTAGCAATTTGAAGAAGGAATGTGTAATATGAATAATTATAATATAAAGTATGACAGGAAACTGGAGTAACAAGGGAATGGTTAGTAAGAAATAAAAAGAACTCTAAACATATATATGTGTTTGGAACAGCATATGAAAGGAGCAGCCACTACCCTTAGAGCTGACGTTAAAGCCAAGGAAAGAGGCCCTCCAGGCCTTGTTGGGGAGGGCATGGCTACTCACTAAATGGTGGAGAAGTTACTCTGGTGCCTTGCTGGGTGAGCACTGTCCTCTGGAAGTTGTTCCTGGGAGGCTTCTCACCAGAGGCACTCTGCTTCAGAACTGGCTGGAACAGAGGGAATGCAGGAGGAAACTGCCAGTCACTGGGTACTGTTTGCAACCATACACTGCAGGAACCAGACAGAGGAGAGGCCCCCACACTTTGCAGGAACCTGCTGAGTGAACACCAGAACCAGGGAGAAAACCCCTTCCTCTTTCATTGCCTCTTCAGTGTCCTTTCCTAACAAAGTTTAACATTGTTCCAGATAGAAAGGAAAAACAAAGGGCACAGATTCATTTTCATAGATCAAGCAATTAATGGTGAACTTGGTTCTGGAAAGCAATAAATTGATAACTGGCATTTTTAGTAAGACATAGAACAGTTAAGCAGTCAAACTAACTTCTGTGTTTGTAAGCAACCTGCCTGCTTTGAGTAAAATAAACTGATAATGTGCTTAATGGAAAGGAATAATTGATCAAATATTTATTACATCATAGTTCCCAAGGAGAAAAATAAGTAAAAATATGAGTGTGTGTGTGTGTGTGTGTGTATCTTTATCCTCCTGGCACACTGGTTTCAATATAAGGGTGCCAACACATCTTTCATGGGAAGATCTTCTTTTTTTTTGATATTATACTCATTTTACTATCTGAGTTTTTAAGTGGTTTTAAAATTTTATTTTTTTAGTGAAATAGTGGTCATACTAAAAGATAGTTTTTGTTGTTGTGGCTGTTTTATTTGTCTTAAAATTTTTCCTAATTGACAAAAAATATATATAACCATTTTTAGTATTCTTTCCATTTAAAAAAAATTATACTGGTATATGAAATTCAAATCTGGAAGCCATTGCACCCAACTATGAATTTGTAAATATAAATTGTGACAAGTCACTATTACTCTTTTGTGAAATGTATAAAACGTTTTGCATTTAGAAACGAGAAAACATTTGTAACATTATATTCGACAACAATGGCATATAAACTCATGAACAGAACTTAAATAATAGCTAAGGCCATGCACTTTACTTTTATTGTCTTCACTTAAACTAACCAGTAATAGATACCACTTCTTCAGATACCAAAATTCAGCTGGAGTTAAAAAATTTTCCAAGTCCTTAGAGCTAGAAAAAAGGAGAACCAAAATTTATCATTATTATTTCTTTTAATATATCTTTATTGATTTGAGAGAGAGGAAAGGAGAGGGAGAGAGAGGCAGAAACATCAATGATGAGAGAGTCATTGATCGGCTGCAGCCCACAACCCGGGCATGTGCCCTGACCAGGAATCAAACCCCGATCGTCTGGATCCCAGGTCGAAGCTCAACCGCTGAGCCACGCCCAGCCAGGCGAGAACCAAGATTTAAATAAGAGTCTGATAGGCTCCAAAATGGCTTAGGATTTAAGTAGATGTCTGCCTGCCTCCAAAAACCTTCCGGTGTCTAGGGAAAGAAAAAAACTGAATTAAGGAGTTAAAAATGGAATTTTCAAAAAATAAAAAGACCAGTAGATTACATATTTTGTGTATGTGTGTACACACACACACATATATACACACACAATTTCTGGAGAAAGGAAATGTACAAAGGAACTTCATAACTTGTTTTCAAAGCTTGAGGAATATCATGTACATAAAACTCAATGACTAGTTTCGATTTTCACCAAAGCAAATATAAATGTAGTAGATTATACAGAGTAAACCAATGCAAGTAGAAAATGTGTTTATGTATTGTTAGTATACATTAGTGTTTCAGGAAGGAATGTGTTTGTTGTAAATTTGACTCTAGTGGTTTAATCAAATATGAACTTACCTGTATTGTGTAACACAAAGTTCACACATATGGGCCATTGCTGAGATTGTTTCAGTAGCTCATTATTAGGGCCAACCTCTACCCGATTCCTGTGGCCTTTCTTTCAGTTATGTGACGCGGCTGCAGTTTCTGCCATCACATCTTTCAAGGAAGAAGGGGACAGGATTATGCTTGCTATATATGACTTTTTATCAGCTTTTCTGAAACATTCTTAGCTGACTTTGGTTTTATTCTCATTAGGCAGTGGAAGGTCAAATGTCCCTACCCCTAGTTGTAAGGAAATTTGGGAAAACAAGAAATAACTTTGTCATGATAGTGGCTGAGACCATAGATTAGCCACACTCTGGCCTTGGGGCCAGTTCAGGCTACCCCTGTTGTTGTTAATAACGTTTTAATGGAACACAGCCATGACTGTTTATTTACACATTGTCTGTGGCTGCTTGCATGGTACAGTAGCAAAGCTGAGTAGTCATAACGTACTATAAGCCTGAAAATACTGTTTGGCCTTTTACCAAAAATGTTTCCTGACCTCCAGCTTAGATCAATCATGATTCATCACCTGGAGTTGACCGCATGGACACTTCAGGGATAACTGGGGTTTCTTTAAGCAAGAAAGGAGATGAAAAGAAGGTATTGCAAAATAACCAACAGTTATGTCATGTAACTGGGCCAATTAATTATATACAAGATCAAAAAGTTATAATACATTTTCTGTTTTAAGTCACAGGATCATATTGAACATAAGACTTTTTTGCCTCTTCATTTCCTAATGAACCAATTAAGAAAATTAAGAAAGGTAGAATTTTGCAAATATATAGAATTAAATGATTGACAATGTTGTGATATATAATGAATTCATGAAGATGATCCCTAATTACTGACTTCTTTATAGCACTGCCTAAGATATTGTGAGACTAAATTTTAAACACATATTTTACTAATTGACACTTTCCTTTAAACTATTTATTTTAGGTCCTTGCATACACTGAAGGACTTCATGGAAAATGGATGTTCAGCGAGATAAGAGCTGTATTCTCAAGACGTTATCTTCTACAAAACACTGCTTTGGAAGTATTTATGGCAAACCGAAGTAAGTCCCCTAAATATTTTGAAAGAAAAGGTACTCATGTTTGAATGCTGTTCATTTGCGTGGTGTATAATTCTGTCTTGATTTTTTCTGCTGCATTTCTCTCTGAAAGCCCTCAGTAAAACAAAAATTAAAAAGCAGTAATATGTTTAGAAATGTTAATCCAAGATTTCTCAAGGATAAAGTTATACAGAAAAGTGATTTCCATGAAGATATATTACCTTTACAAATAAATGATGATAAGCACTTGAAAATGATTTCTGAAATTGATGGTTTGCTCTCCTGTGCTTTTCTAAATCATATTTTTACTTCTTTTCACAGCCTCAGTTATGTTTAATTTCCCTGATCAAGCAACTGTAAAAAAAGTTGTCTATAGCTTACCTCGGGTTGGAGTAGGGACCAGCTATGGTTTGCCACAAGCCAGGTAATTGTATCATGTTATATGTTATCTATGGGTTTTAGAAAACATATTTCATTTTTAATAAGACAGAAATATTTATAGGGTTATACCATTATAATTATTCTGAGAACCAAGGAATTTTCTTTCTTTACAGGTTATTTGTAGGGAAAGAGCTTATGAAAACAACTATTTTAAGAATGACAGAATAGTTAGGGCATACTTTTTATATAATACATATATAAATGAGGAAGCAAAATATTGATTGAAATCATAGCTGGTATATAATTAAGACATTTTGCTTATGCTCTTACAAGAAACATACTAAAAGCCTCATGATGTTTGTAATTGTAATGCAATATCATATAAATTGTTCTTATAAATATTTCTTCATTAAAGTAATAAAATTCCTAAAGTTTATTGAGATTAATTATGGTGTGGTTTTAACTATGTCCTAAATTTTTAATTTTGGTATTTTTAAAACATCATTTTGAAATCGTATTTTATTGAGGATACTAATCTAAGTAGAAAACAGTAAATTTTGTGTATCACTAATATCAATTAGTCAGTTTTTGGCTCCAAGTGACTGAATGCATGACTAAATGTGCCTTAAAAGATAGAGTTCTTTGCTTTTTAGCTTTTGTTTTTAATATAAAAGATCTGGAGAAGTATTGGCTGAGAGGTTCAGTGATGTTAGGACTCTTAGTTGGCCACATACTCGCAAAATAACCACTACTGCTCCAGACACATCTTCAGACAACTGCAATAAAGTAGGTGAAAGACACAATTTCTCTTAGAGCATTTCTCTTAGAGCGTTCATGTTTTAGGAAAGAATATATTTCTCAGAAACCTCCAGCAATCTTTAATTCAAATCCTTTTGGCTGGAATGGGTTCACCCCTAAAACAATCACTGTCAAAGAGGAGTATATTTACTGGCTTAGCCCAATCATCCCATAGAATTCAGGGAAAAATATACCTCTGAACTCCTTGCTATCTACTACCTGAAAAAAGTAAGGTGTCTTTTGGCAAGGAAGAAAGAAATAACAGCTTTGGGTAAACAAGTTAAGTCCCTGGGAATTATTGCACAGCACTGTATGGATAGAAAGGAAAACTAATCTTTGTCTGTCTTCCCTTAAGTAGGCTACAGACATTTAAAGACAAGGATGGTGTCTTATTTATCTTTAAATGTATAGGACCTAGCACAGTACCTAATTGTAGAGGTGTTTTTTAAGTGCTACTCAACTGAAATTACCTTGCATTGTGGTGTATCTATTCTCTTTAAGCTTACAGTGTAATAGCAGTTTACTGGCATGTATGCATATGCTCAAGATATTTGCCAGTAGACTGACAAGATTAAGTTAAGTCACTAGTAGCTAATGAAATACTTATATAAAATACAGGTCAAAAGAAAAAAATGCATTTAATCTATCAAGGAAATGAAGTTAGTTTTGCAAAACTCGGTCTTATTGAATCTAAGCTGACTGATGGTAATCACTACTTCCTTTCCCTGGTGCTTACAGACTGTTTAATCATCAATTCAAGCATTTTTTCAAGAATTGACATTATGAACTCATGAGTAGTTCTATTTCCTTTTTAAAAATAATCTGCCCCTTGGCATCTTTCTCAGTGACCATGATTCTTCAAAAATTATCAGTAAGGGTTTCTCAATGACATGTGTGTGATTTCCTTCAATACTCTTGAACTTGTCTGGACCTGAATTAATTCAAAACAGAAGCTCTTTTACTATCTTCCTTACCTATTATGAGTATTATTTTCTTTTTAACCACATTCAGTCTTTTTGACTTTTGGAAAATCATTATTCTTGATAGAAAAAATGGAAACAAAATAGATGTTCAGTAGTTTTGGTTCTGCTGTTACTTCACACAACCGTTCTATCTTAAAATACTCTTTTATTGTTCTTGGTTCCCTGACCAGACACTCAACTCATTTGTAGTTTCTTAATATTTTCAGAAATTCAGTTTGTATAATAGATGGGGGTTAGAAGAACATCTTGGCTTAGATAGACCTGTTATTTACCCACTGGGGAACAGTCACAGAGCCAGGTACTTAGTAAGAACTCACCACATATTAGCTGAAAAAATGAACAACACTAGGGGATAGGAATGGCACTCTCATTTGCTATAAAATTAAGGCAGTATCTTAGCATAGAGATGTTTTACAAATGTCTTAAGATCATAAAGTGAAGGTACTTTGTCAAACTGTAAACACATGAACACTAGGCACATATATGCAAGCATACACACACAGATATAGATAGGCAGGTAAGTGGGTGGGTAAATACACACATACCTCTATAAACTTATGTGTGTGATATGTAAGACCTTTTTATATTTAGCAGATTGTCAAAGAAAAGAATGATGCTGGTTTCTACAAGAAGCCTTCCAGCTTCATAGAACCACTAAGGGATTAATTCTTTGTTTTCTTTTCTTGATATTGAGTTTTGTCAGTTTAAGCAGAGTTTATCGAACTTTAGGAAACTTACTCTAAGCTAAACCCATAAAGAGATTGATTTATAAATAAACAAAAAATTATAAAATCCAAAGGCAGGTATACTGCCAGAATAATTGACTTCACAAATCATTTGGGCTACTTCTTGGGCAAGCCTACCAAAAAGATCAGGTTGTTGCTTAATTAATGAAGACTTAGAACAATGGGAATATTTTTATTAAACTAGCATAGCCTAATGAATGCCCTTTTAATTAATTAATTAATATCCATAGCTATCATTTACTGAGCACTTCTCATATGCCAGGGACTATACTTAGTGTTTTAGCTTATAAGTATTCTTTCCCTTAATTCTTTTTTATTAGGCAGGGACTTATAAACAACAGGAATTTATTTCTCACAGTTCTGGAGGCTGGGAAGTCTAAGATCAAGAAACTGGCAGATCTGTGTCTGAGATTCACTCTCTGGTTCATAAATGGCCATCTTTTCATTCTGTCCTCACATGGCAGAAGGGAGCTCTCTGCCCTTAATTCTTAAAACAACCAAATTTTAAAAACAAGGGGATTCTTATTCAATGTTACAGATAGGAAGATTTTTATTTAGATAAGTTATTTATCTTGCTAAAGATCATAGCTTACTCTCTATATAATTTCTATTCTGTGACCTCTATCAAGGTGACCCACATAGGTCATAAGAATAATACCTTCCCTCTTACATAATGAAGGAAAAACCCTTGTCCATTTTCTGCACTCCATACTGATTACCATTGCTTCATTAATGTATTTTCTATTTTAACCATCAGTACAATAAATTAATTTTGGATTTAATTATATTCTTCACTTACTAAGGATACAGCTGGTTATAGTCATAGGGTCAATTATTTTGAATGGTCACCATTTGTTATGATACTCAATACTTTTTATTTCAGAGTGTAATTTTGCCTTTATCTCATCCCCCAATTCTAAAAGCATCATACTGTAGCCCAAATATGTACCAACTATTCTCATTCAAGCATGTAAACTTGTTATAGGAATTTTGAACAGCTTTATTAATTTCCCATTTTCTTCTTCATGTGACTGAATTAATTTTTTAGGATTACATCTCTCTTTAGCCATTTTTCTGTTACTGTAGATGACCAATAATTTAAATCATTAAGTATGTACTTATTGAGACCCCATTATGCTAAGCACTGCTAAATGCAAAGGATATAACAGTAAGTAAAATAATTTACTTCCTGCTTTCAGTGAGTTTTTATGAGGAAAGACAGAGCAATAAACAAGAAAAACTGACCTTTTCCCTGAACTCAATAATAATCTTCTTTTCTAAATTTATATACTATGCTCACATTTTTCTTCTTCATTATTACATACTCTAAGAATGACATGATAACGTTCTCCCATTATTCCTATCACTTACATCTATTAGGGTGGTTTTTTTTTATTTAAAGATTTTTTATTGATTTTTAGAGACAGAGGAAGTGAGAGGGAGAGAGAGAAACACCCATGTGAGAGCAAGACATCTCTAGGCTGCCTCCTGCACTCCCCCTACCGGGCTTCAAGCCTGCAACCTGGACACGGGCCTTGACCTGGAATCGAGCCAGCGACCTTTTGGTGCACAGGAGGATGCCCAACCAACTGAGCCAAACTGGCCAGGGCCCTATTAGGGTTTTTAAACACCTGTCAGGTTTTGTTTGGTCATTGGTTTTGGGGTTTTGGTTGGTAAGAATTATTTCAGATAAGCAATTTTCTTCTTAAATTGTCTAGGTTCAAAATGTCAACAGAGGAATTCAAAACTTTATTATAAACATAGCATTTAGCAGTCTGAATGTGCTGCAATTAAGAACTTTAGTCAGATTAGGAAGAATGTGATTATAATAGTAACAATGCAAATTGAAGTAAGAATATGGTTATAATAGTAGCACAGTAAAAATTTGGCTAAGCATAGTTTACTAATTATTTGATAATTCAGAAAACATTTTAGCATGTTGTCATGAATCAGGGGAATATTTATAATGTAAAATAGTTATGTGGGTGAAAGTGGACCTGGGACAATTTTGAATGATGGTGCCAGTATGGATAAAATGTGGAAGTCCTTTAGGTAACTCTGTGAAAATCATATTATAAATTAATTGAAAAATGCACTGAATTATAAAATTAAACTTTGAAGTATGTATGTCATGTAACATTGAAATTAAGGGAGTTATTAAGACTTGAGGATCTTTTGGAGTCAATAGGCCTATTATCTCAAATATATATAAATAGGTAGGAATAATGTGTGACTAGACTGCTACAATTTTACTTAGTTGATAGCTTAAACATAGAGTTATACATAATTAATCTTAAAATCCTTAATTCGGATTTGAACTTGAGATAACAAGTTCCATCCCATCCTACTTCCTTCCTTCCTTTTCCGTAATTAACATATACTTAGCTCCTACTATGTACAAGACAATGTCTATTAAGATTTGATTTGAACAGAAATATTTGATAATAATACATGAATGAAAAAAATAGTCTTAATTTCATAGTTCCTAACCTGGGAGCCCTGGATGTCACAGTGAACTCATAGGGGCGCAGCAGGACATTTTGTAGTTTTTAGGGAAACAACAACATCTGTCAGTTACCACACAAACTCTTAGCTGGAGTTAGTTTTAAATTTCAGCATTAGATAGCACTGTATTCTTGACATCTCAGCTTTGTGAAACTAGGTTTTTGGGGTTGCAATTGTAAAAAACAAGTGCTGCATGAAAATTAATGTGGACTAAGAAATACAGGTGGTGGCATCAGATAGGATTTCCAGGATTAAGAAACAGTGCAGTGCCTAACAAGTGCACATCCCTTTAGTAATTGTGGTTATTAAAAAATAAAATAAAAATGTTACTTTTCTTTCAAAGCGTATTATATTTTCACACAGCTACTAAGTTTTTAAGACTTAAATATTTATTAAGTTATTTAGACCTAAGTACTTAATAAACAGAACTGTTAGGTGTTTCTCTTGGGCTGGGGGCACCATGAAAAACTTCCTGAGACCCTAAGGGTAGCATGAATTGAAAAAAATTAGGAACCTCTATCTTAAGTGGTGATCATTTTAGAAACTCATTAGCCTTATCATACTTTTACAAATACAGCCAGTTTTCATTATTTTTTAGATAAACACATTGAATATTGAGAATTTCATAATTTACGCAGATTATCCTAATTTACTCCCTCAAACTATTCCTATATCTCTTCTGAATTCATACAAGTTCCCAGTGTTTTGTTTTGTACATCATCAGAGGGATATGAACTGTATGGGTAGAGACTGTGCATGTGGGCACACTCTGTGTGTGGAGCCATTATTATATAAGGTTTAAGTCAAATGCTTATTGGCTGATACCAGACTACCTACCTACCTTCTTAGCATGGAGTAGATTTACTAGATTGTTTAAAAGATACTTTGACTTATTTTGAGTATAGGTTCACATTTTTGGTATTGTTTACTTGTAAAATACCCATTTGCACCCATATTATTCAAATAGGCACTTTCATATTGGTTTAACCTGCGTAACTACATATCTGCTCTATAACAGAGTTTTCAATACCATTAATATCTACAATTGAAATATTTTGTAATTTATTAAGAAGGATAAACCATGGATATTTTAAATTATTTTAAATATATTAGTTTATATTGTATTTTTAAAAAGTCATGAGTTAAAAGAGACTATGTTTGTTACGGTTTGCTTAATTGCTAGGAGGATATCACTGGCCACTCCTCGACAGCTTTATAAATCTTCTAACATGACTCAGCGATGGCAAAGAAGGGAAATTTCAAACTTTGAGTATTTGATGTTTCTTAATACTATAGCAGGTAAGACATCTCATTATTTAATCTCATAATATGTTTATGTTCATCAAAATCATGGGTAATGTAACTTTATGGAATACATGTTCCTCTTTGGAATTCAAATGGAGCATTAAACTAAATATTGAAGCATTCATATGAATTGTTATCAGAAATTATATAAGCCAGTACCAAGGTTTTAGATGCATTTATTGTTGAACAGTCTTTCCCTGCTATCCTCTTCTATTTTCTTTGCTGACAGCTTTGTCTGAAAGTTTATTAGAGTCAACAAACCATTGCCAGAGAGTGACTGGAAATAATAATGGGAATATGTAATTTCACTACTTTGTCATTCTGAGCAATAGCAGCTAGACAGGAGAATAACAATAGGATTCTGCCTAGTACAGATGTAACCTGGATTAAGGCATGATTTGGTTACAGTGTGTGTGTTTTTTCTTAAAATCTTCAAATAAAAATATAAAATCAAATTACATTTATAAATGATGAGTAACTGCCATCAACCTCGGCAGTACCATGTTTATAAATTTTAAAAAGGTAAGTGGCTTTTTTTTCCTGCTAAATCAGTGATTGTCAGTGGTTAAACATCTCTGAGATTTAAGTACCTCTTTCCTTTTTTCCTAAATTAAGCCTCCAAAGTCCTTATTTATGTTAAATTGCAGTTTTCTTTTGTAAACAGGGGCTACTAAAATTTTTTGCAATTACATGAATTTAACTAACTACATTATTATTGTTCTGTTATGATTGCATGCTCAGAACCATGAATATAGAGCCGTGTTCTCTGAACTATCGCTTAAAAGGATTACTGTGTAATATTATTCTTTATAAGTCTATTATATATATGTGAATATAGATACTGTAGATATATACTAATTATGGATGATAGATATGTATTAAATAGATAGGCAAAAGTACTCAATTTGTCAATAAAAAGGGATAAAAAAGTTTGAAATGTTTTGCATTTTAATCATTTAATAAATATTGTAATGTTAGTGCATTTACTAATAAGATACTAGTGGTAGAACCAAAGTACTATTTTATTAAATATATTAAATTTTATTGTATATTTTATATACACATCTGCATTGTATACATATATCTTCTGATATCTTCGTGATATATTACATATATATTCCTATATCAGTTCACATTATATATATATATATATATATATACACACACACACACACATATATGTGTATATCTTAAACATATTTACTAGTTCAAAGATAAAAGGGAAGTATTATACTAGTTATTAGCACATATTATTTACATATATAAATAGAAGAAACTTAAATATCTGAAATGTAAAGAAGTTAATTTCATTAGCATGTCTAGGTAAACAGCATTATATAGTAGAAAGAACATAAGTTTCAATGCCAACGGGAAGAGGGGTAGAATTTCAGATCTACCAACTTTTGTGTACTAGAGCATAGGTGGAATTCCAAGTTTTCACTGTATCTTGGACTTTTAATCTTTCAGTAGTCATGTTTAATATGTTTGCATCTGTTTTAATAACTGATATATTTGACCTTTTACCATCATGCTTTATACTATTATTTTTAATGTTTTCTTGCTTTTATGTATTGTTTGGGGGGTTTTGATCATATCGATAATTTTTTGCCCATTTTTTAGTGATTTAGAATGTAGGCAACTTATAATTAATTATCCTAGAGATGTGTTTAAATTTTTTACAACCCTTTAAAATATACTTCATTTTTTAACTCAAAAATGAACCAACATTTTAAATCACTCCTATGTAAAATAAAAATATTAACTCAATTACCTCCTCATTCATTGCTTATTTTTTAAATATAATTTACTACTCAGAATCCATATTATTATTAAAATCTTTTTTCTGAAGTTCATATATTTTTGCATAAAAAGAAAGACTTCAGACTATCAAAATGTTCTTGTCAGCTACATAGATCTTTATCTGATTTTTCAGGATAATGTTCTTTTTCCATTCTTCTGCAGTATTTTTCTATATTCCCTGTGTTAGGATTTTTGTTATCTATCTATCAAGATTCATTGTCCATATGTCATAAATGGGCATATGATTTTTTTCGTTGGCTATGCTAGCTATCTGGAGCTGTTGGATGTTAAACTGGAAGACAGGGTAATAAATCTCATGCCCAGCTCAGTTTCCAGTTGAGCTGGAATTCCTATTAAACAATTCTGCTATTCTAAGATGGGATTTTCTCTATCTCTGGATGGGGTGTTATCTAGTTCACTGCTTTAAAGGACTCTTCTAGATTCCATCCCTTCCCACTACATTTTACCTGTGTCAGATATATTTTCCACAATATGGTACAGTACCATCTATAACCACCATTCACTTCCTGCCTGTTGATTTCTGGGAATTGCTCTATCTAGCTTTAGAAAAATTGCAATCGAATAGAGAGAACACTGTGATCCCTTATGCAGCTGCACCTGAGCAGTATAGACTTTTTTTCTGGTTGGGACAGTCTTTGGGGATTCTAAGCCAGAGCATGTAGATCATGAGGGAAATTTAAGTGTCTCCTTACTCTCTTTTGAATAATTGTGTCTGTTTTATTTGATGACATAAAGAATGTATAAGGCACTGAATTATTTTTAAAGAATATATTGGGTGTTTTCTTTACAATAATTATAACTAAACATTAAAGCCTGTCTACTATAGAGAGTAGGATAAAACATAGAAATAAGGACTCCGAGCACTTACAACTTGGTGGGAAATGAAGTATACATAAATAAGACAGCATTTTAAGACAACTGTATTAAGTACTGAAAAGTGCTATAAATAGTGAATGCTACAAAAGCTAAGCAGAGTGGAGGAATTTAAAAAATGTGTTTGGGGAGAAAAAAAGCAGAGCTTTACAAATTTCTGCCAGCTGGATATGTGTGATGGTTTAAGTGGACATGAGTGTCACATCTTGGCTAAAAGCAAAGCATAACAGGAGATAATATTGGAGCTATAAGTAAGAACCAGATTGTAAAGAACCTGATCTTAGACTTTTAGGAGTTAGTATAACCATTTGGAGTCACAGATTTAGAGGTATTGATTATAACCAAGAGATCATGGAAAGCTTCTCTGAGGCAACACGAAAATTGGAAATTGAAATATGAGTAAGAATTCCCTAGAAAGTAAGCAGAGGGCATTCCAAGAAAAAAGAAAATGTGGGATGAAGAGTTGAATTCCAGTAGTGGCAGCATGTATATGAGAGAGAGAGAGAGAGAGAGAGAGAGAGAGAAGAGTGAATAACAGAGAGACATATGATGTCATTATACAAAAAGTAGAAGTCACTATAATATGCTCCAGGTGAATGGTTGGCAGTGTCCCCTGACCTATAGTATTAGTATCAGTATCTGAGAAATTGTTAGAGACATAATTCTCAGGCTCCTCCTTGAACCTACTGGATCAGAGATTCTGGGAGTGTGGCCCAGAGAGCTGCATTTTAACTAGTCTTCTAGTTGGTTCTGATGTATAATATTTGAGCACCATTGCTCAAGCTATTTAAGATCTAATTATCAGAACAGTATTTGCATATAAATATATTTAGAACATGCAAGAAAGCATGCAATTAAGTGCAATTACCTATAATAAAAGTTTAGAGAAGTCAGAGATTAGGATGAGATAGTCTAGTCAAGGGGAGCTTCATAGAAAAGATGGGCTTCAAATTAACTCAAAGGGTTTTGTTGTACATAGATGATTATCCTGGCAAAATGAACCTTTATACATAAGTAGAATAATAATTGGAAAAGGTTGTGAATATAAACATCCTGAGATACTGTTCTTGGTTATAACCCTGCTAATTCTTCCCTTGCCATCATCCTGAAGTTTAAGTGGGAGTGCCAGTTTGCACTGAGCACCAGCATTGAAGATTTGGGTGATGGTTTCATAGACAAGCTTCACTAAAGCCAAGATTGAGTACTTGTTAAGGAGGTAATTAGAATTGCCTGTTTTCCAGTCTTGTGGGGAACAGTGTATTATTCATTCATCTCTTATTATTGGAACACTTTTCAGAGTTCTCTGAGGATCCCAGAATAAAGGGCCGTTTAAAGATGTCCAATTGTACCAACATCACTTTTACTAGCATGGGTTCCACTAAATAATCATGTTACATAACACAGTTTTAAGGATTCATTTATTGTTCAGTGCATACTTATTTAAGTCAGTTGATTGAAACGTAAGATTTATCATTTCTTGAAAGGGTATTAGTATTTATATTGACAAATTTCCTAAGTAATCTAAAGCCAGAAATGGTTGGTGTATACCTTATCATAGTCTTTTTTAAACATATCTTTAATTATTCCTAATATCAAGATTCAGAAAAAATAAATCTTTTTATTGTTTCTTTGTTTGATTTCATTATTACTTTTTGAAACATTTTTAATATTGATGTCAACATTGAGAAAAAGTAGCAAATAGTTGTTAACATTTATTGAGCAATTTACAGTATTCTAAATATTATTTTAAGTGCTGTATGTGTATTTACTCATTTAGTCCCAACAATAACCCAAAACTTAGGTTCTATTTTTATCCTCATTTCACAAATGAGGTAATAAGGTACAGAGAAGTTGAATAACTTGTCTAAGTTACAGAGCTGATAAGTGATGAAGTCAGGATTCTAATTTGGCTCTAGAACTTGACTCAACTATTGTATTATACTGCATCAGATACTTATGGCACCATTCAATTTCACCTCTAGTCATTAGCTTTAATCTACTAATTGCCTTAAAAACCTAAACAATTAATGTTTTTAAACAATTTCATCAAAAGAAGATTTGAAGAAAAAAAAAGAAGAAGCTTTTGAAGTTCATTTACTGTCATGATTTGTGCAGATACTAGCAGATACTAGAAGTGGGCCCAGAATCATCTCTAATGTAGAACCTGGTACTGTTTTCAGCTAGGTCTCAGATCCAGAGAAACAGACTCTAAGGCAAAGATTTGCGTGCAGGAAGTTTACTGGAGAGTATCTTTGGAATTAATATCTGTGGGGGAGCGAGGAAAAGTAGGACTGGATAAA